GTATGCCACAGTCAACATTCGGAATGCATCCACGCTCTTAATTTCGTTTTTCACACAAAATTTGATACAGGTTCTTTGATCCATTTTCTCGAATAGGTAAAGTCGAAGACCATCCAAAACACGTGCAAGCAAAGCAGCTGTCAACAATTAAGTGAACATTCGAAATGGCCGAGCTTGTCGGCATAAGTGACAGACATGAGTACCAACATAACGCCACAAAAAAATCGAAATTCGATTATACGTAACCCGCGAAAATTCCAAATTCGGGATACTTTTTGAACACACCTCGTACAACTCAGCACTAAAATCTGTGAATAAACAATAAATCACACCTTTAGAATAAGATTTTTCCAGGAAAAGAAATTATAATTTTCCAAATTAAACTACTCTGGTAAAAACGTACGCGTAGTCATGCATAAAAATTATACGTACCGAATTGTGAACTCTCTTTCTCATCTGTTAATAATGTTAAAAGTTTTATTTTTGAATACAAAAAAGTTATATTTATCAATATCACTATATATTATTAAACACAACGTTCTTCCGCGTCTGTCAGTCTGTTCGCTTTGAACTCAAAAAATACTGAAAGGATTTTCATGTGGCTTTCTTCAATATATAATATAAAGTGCTTCTTGAGTACCAAAACTGCTCACATCATCTGCAAACCAAAGACGTTCTACTCTGTCTTCACACTCATAATTGCTTAATAGTGCTGCAAAGAGAGTAATTGTTTTAAATAAAAAAAATGAACCTATTCACAAAAGATCGTATACTTTTTGTTCCAGGAAATGTTAAAAATCTATCATAACTATTTTTTTAAACTTTGTTGAATTCGTAGGTTTAACTTTGAATAAAAAAATCTGAAGAGTTACCAAAACCTAAGAAGAAATGAGACAACGAGAGTGTAAGGTTGAGATTCTTGCAAGCCAGATAAGCGAAGAATAATGCTAAATCAGAGTTCAACTATATATTGAATTTGAATTTTATGAAGCTTTCTCTTCACTTCATTGCAGGAATCAAATATGAGTTTTAGTTTTAGTTTAGCGCTGATGTTAAGTTAAGTCTTAATGACTTCATTCGTTGGTAATAAAATTAGGGAAATCTTTTGAGAAAGTAGTTATGCGGTATCTAATATTTTCACGGTTGTAATCCATTTGCTTAAAATTTGGTACATATATGGATGGCTTCTTGCATAACTATTTGCCACTCTAGAGGTTGGAAATTACATAATTTTTTTTTTAATTTATTGTAGGAATTTGGGAAAAGAAAAAAAATTTCTTTTAACCAATTCATTGAACATATATTGAAGTATAAAAAAATATTCTTTAAATATTATTTTGTTATAAAATGGCGGTGATAAAGTCCATTATATAATCCATGTTTTTTAAGTCGTCCACGGGAAGACTGATTTCTTCCAAAGAATGATATCTAGAACAGAAAAACAAAAAGTTGTATGATCTCTAAACTATGGTCTTTAAAAGTACGACGGGTTAATTTTTCAACTAGTTTTTGTGAAGGCAAGACACTTTTTTTTAATTTTGATTTTTGTCTAAATAATAATAAAAAAAAGCATTTACATTTTATAGAAAAACGGCTACGTACTTCTCAAAAAAATGTATTTGTAAAGCTACCATAGAAATTTCAGATAAATGCGCACGCCCTGGGGGCTGCAGCAAAATAAAAAGTTCAGCTATTTGAAATACGTTTTTCACTTTAAACCCAATCACATAATTTCTAGGACCCAAAGGCACCCTGTGAGCAAAAAAAAAAAAAAAAAAATGAGTGGCTTTACCCCTTAAACAATTTTTTAAACTGAAACTTATGTATACATATTTATATATGTATGTACATAATTGACACTTTGTAACCGCTGAAGCGACTTTCAGTCGAATTTCTCCTCTGATTTCTGTGTGCGTTTGATGTTTTCCCAATAAGTGGAGGGACATACAGTTCATACCAAGCCGCCTGCCAAAATCCTTTATTTCATATCAGAAATACATGCCATAAAATTATGAGTAAAAACGATTACTTCAAATATGACAAAGAGTCTGAAGATCTTTTCCGTATTCGACGACAAACTTTACTGATCATTACATAACTTCTTGGATCCTTTTTACCTAAAATCATAACATAATCAGAAAGAGCTGTCTTATTGTCATCGCTTTCGGAGGCTTAAGAATGCATTATCGTCAAAATGCTTTGCGCATCATTCGGTCGATTCTGCTTTCTAAAAGGTGCTTCTTTTAGAAGTTTGGTTTTCCACGAGTCAATACTTTTTTCATTGTTTTTCTTCTTGACATCTGTTACTCTGTTTGGTTTGCCATTTCGTAATGAACGGATTTTCTCCGGAACAATGACCATGGTTAATAGCTTTTTCGTGCCTGAATTGAATCATGTAATTTGGACAACATTTGGTTCTGGCGCTACATGCCATCTAGCCAACGAAACAATTAATTTATTGAAGGGAAGTTTTGGTAAGCGAGGAGATCGAAAATTGGGCAATTTTAATGAAGCCAACGCCGCAATCACTTGCCTGAAACCATTTTTTGAAATATAATGCTAACGCTTAGCTTTATAATATAGCTAAATTGCTTGACCATAGCACATATCATTTAAAGAATCCAAAAATCAACTTTCATTATATGAAAAATAAGAATTTATTCTGGAATACTACCTTGACCGAAAAGTTCCTGAATTTATTCAAAAACTGAAAAATTCAAGATTAAACATGAAAATCGGCAATTTCCCCTTAAAAGTACTGCCTGTCGATTTTTCCATGATCTCAACTCGGGTGCTGGAACGCTTTCCACGGAGCGGTTTCTTGCGCCGACCGAATAAAAAAAAATCGCAGGGAGCCAGGTCAGGTGAGTTTGGTAGTATTTGAATGGTATTCGTTTCGTTTTTATGCGACAGCGCGTTATCATGGTGCGAGATTCATGAGTTATTTGCCCACAAATCCGATTTTTTTGGCGCACTGTTTCCCGCAAATGTCTTAAATAATACTCCTTATTGACGGTGAGCCATTGTGGGAGAAATTCATGACACACAATTCCTTAAAAATTCCATTAAAATAACCTGTGAAAATCGCCTTTTTTCGACTGGAAACGAGGTGGTTTCTTCGGTCGCGGCTCCACTGATAAACCGCAGTTTTCTTTAAGGTATTCCTGTCAACTTCTTTTCTAACATTTTCAATGTTTTCACGCAAAATTTGATGCGAATCCGTTGTTACAAATTGAACACCATTTTTTAAATTATACAAAATCGACAACACGCACAATCCGAATGTATTCCAGACGGCGTAACTTTAACAAATGTCAAGCAATCAACCTCATAGGGATTTCTTTTTTATCAAGGTAGTTTAACTGCCAATTTCTCAATTCAGACTTTTCGGTTTGTGCAGGATGATTCCACTCCACAGCCACTGCTCTTTAATTAAATCTTAGAAAACTACATGTGTGTGATTCTTGTGTTGATACACCGTTCGTATTTAAATATTTGCATAATTTTAATTTTAGGAAAAATATTAAGGGTCAAACGCAAAAAATTATAACACTCGACAATAAGATGGGTTATTTTGATATTCAAGAAAAATGGCAATTTTCAAGATTAAATTTTCGAATGTTTATTTCAATGTAAAATGTAAAAATTATGCGATTAATGATGGAAAACAATATTAACTTAATGACTGTCACGGTCACAGATCGAAGGTTTCGTATCGTCATTTACGAAAATGTAACGTCCAATGACACCGCCGACCCATAAAACACACCAAAACAGTCACACGTTGAGGATGGAGGGGTTTTTCAATAATAATTCGTGGGTTTTCCGAGCCCCAAATGCGACAGTTTTGTTTATTGACGTAGCCATCGAGGGGAAAATGGGCCGCAGCTGTTAAGATGATTTTTCGATGGAATTTATATATATTAAAGATTATTAAACGCATTGCTGAAGCTTTTATCGTTCCGTTTTTATTATTGACGTAGTTTTCAAATGTCAAAAATTACCGTTATAAAAGTAACATGTATTGTACTTTAATAGACCGCTTTTTGGAAAACTCTGATCTGCGTGGATGAGAAATATTACTTTTCCCAAAACATTCATCAGTTTCCTAGTCACTCGCCATTAGGAATTCATAACTGTTTTTGCATTTAAAAGTTTTACGGAGTAAGGACATGTTTTGTTAATAACATTTTCGGTTATAAAAAGTCATTAATCATCTCACGATAGCACAAACCATTCACCGTAACTGTTGTTCTACCGTCATTAACAAAAGTGTAAGGTCCAATGACACCGCCGACCCATAAAACATGTCTGAACAAATACTTTTACAAGTGTGGGATAAATTTACAGACGTCGCATGAAGGAAAAGGTGTTTCTGTCTTCACAAAAATCAGTAGATCTCTGCTCTTTAGAAATGGAAAGGCATAACATGGCACGTTACATACCTGAAGATGCTATGTGTATTAATAATTTTAAATCATTTTCATTTTCCCAGCACGAATTTCAAACTTCCAATCCAAACTAGTTGTCAGAATTGTGCTCTTTCATTACAAATTTTACTGGTTTCTTGTCTCAACAGAAGCGATTCATTAAAAAATTGGTAACAATTGCTCGCCGAACACATAATCGGCTATATCAAAAACTAGCATCAATCATAAAAAACCAAGTGAAGACTGGGATAAGCGTCAAAAATTATCATAGAAAGGAACTTTTGGTTGCCTAGATACAAGACCGTGCAACAAATTACGTTCTCAAAGTGGCGAAAATTAATATTTCTTCCATTTTAACGAAAATTTTTGTATTAGAAATTATTTAGAAATATAATTTAACCCAGCGCGTTTCATATGCAAAAGATAAATCAAGAAAACACTAGCAATGGAAATTATTATCTTGAAAGAGTAGAAATGGAAAATAAATATATGTTTTTGTATTTTTTTTTTTTTTTTGGCAAACAACAAAATATTTTAAATAACGCATTCTTATATTTTTTATATACACAGTTTCGGCACAAGAGGCTGGACAGAATTATCAAGTGCAATATGTAGACACCGAATTGTATCACGGCAATTCCAGTCAAACCCAAATGTAAGTAACAAACTCTGTTTGCACGCAAACATACATTCCCATATATAGAATATGATCTGGATGAAAAATTCAACACTCTTTCAACTTAATCAATTACTCCTATATACTTTATTTAGGACATATCCTTTTTGCCCTGTTGCCGACTATCAAACAAGTGGTCAAACCTACTATTCGACGTCGGCCACAAGCAATTATGCTACCGCGTCGGTTGCAAATGCGCCCAACACGCACGCTGCGTCATTGCCATATTTGGTGCCAGTTGAAGAGGGCTTATTACTCAATACATCATCGCATTCGCAGAGTCGCGACTCGCCGCATAGCTTAACGGTAATTGTTTAAAATAAATAACGGCTTGAAACATTTTATACCATAGTTTGACGTTTTTATTTATAGGAAGTGACTTATATTCAAGAAGCTCAAAGTACACCACAAACTCCTACATCTACAACTACAACAAACTCAGTAAGCGGCGGTAGCATCGGTACTGGTGGCGGTGGTGCATCCCCAGATAGCGAACAAAATGGACTTGGTACAACGAATAAAGTTGCCTCAGCGACGGTAAGCTATGAATGCACCATTGAAATATCTACCGAATATTTAAAATATATATGCACGTAAGGCATATTGCCGAAAACCTAATGCAAATTCTACGCGCATCTCCATCCACATTCTTACAATCTCTACAATTGCAATTTAATTGAACGCCAGCCCATAGTCTAAATTCTTCATTATATTTCTTTCTCTTTCGCGCTCATCTATGACATTGGCTTGCGCCCTGGTGGTGGCTGCTGTAGATCAAGTGGTTGTCACGTAACTACGAGACGGCCGATGGCGTCAGTTTACCCCGTTCCACACTATACAACCACTACATACAGCATTGCAACGAGAACAAATTGGAGCCAGTGAATGCTGCAAGTTTCGGCAAACTAATTCGTTCGGTGTTCTCTGGTTTGCGTACACGTCGCTTGGGCACACGCGGCAATTCCAAATATCATTACTATGGCATACGCATAAAACCGGATTCTATATTGAATCACATGATGGACGAAAAGCCGACATACTCAACACATTCCGGCAATGGCGCATCAAGCGGCATTGGACATTCAAACACTATTGGCGGTGTAGTTTCATCAAGTGGGGCTGGAGCTAGTGGCGGCAATATAAATGTGGGTAATCACGGTAATCGCAGTTTGAAGAAAATGAGTTTCAAACCGGAATCTTATGAAACTTGCGCACAGGTAACATGAAAATTAATGAAATGTCGGTAAATCATGTTTTACCTATTTATTTGTGTATTCTGTATAGTATTTGGGGGATGGTGCAGGCGCGATACCCTCTTTTCCCGCTATCGAATTGGACCACACATACAGTAATGAGCTCTCTCAGGATGACGTAGAAACTTTTCGTGCAATGTATCGGGAACATTGTGAATCCTTTTTGGATGCTGTGCTAAATTTAGAATTCAGTACCATTGAATATTTGTGGCGTGATTTTTGGCGTGCCACCGACAACAATAATTTAGAAGAATGTGAGGAAGAAAAGTATCTGAGCAAGACGAAACTATACTTGTTGTGCCATTGCGCAGAAGTGCAAAAGTTCATCAAAGAGGTGAGTACGATGGCATATACTCGTACATACATACAACTGCAGAGCATAGCAAACACTTGCCAGATATATTTTTTTTATTTATACATTATCGTTCATTAACCGTCTAGGTGGACTATCAATTTTATCAAAATATGGTCGACGTCATCATTCCCGATGTTCTGCGCTCCATTCCAAACGGACTCACCCAAGCCATTCGTAACTTTGCAAAAAATTTAGAGCTGTGGCTATGTGAATCTATGGTGGGTGTGCCCGATCGCTTAATACAAATCAAATCGGCTGCGGTATCTGCGTTTTGTCAAACTTTACGCCGCTATACATCGCTCAATCATTTAGCACAAGCAGCTCGCGCTGTGCTTCAGAATAATACTCAAATAACTCAAATGTTGCACGACTTAAATCGTGTAGACTTCCATAATGTGCAGGTTAGTTGCGTTTATACTACACTGCGAAAGCGAGTAAATGAACAATTTGTATGAGATAAACGTTTAAATTTAAATTCACAGGAACAAGCTGCTTGGGTATGTCAATGCGAGACAGCGGTGGTACAACGTTTAGAGAATGATTTCAAAGCGGCTCTTCAACAACAAAGCTCTCTAGAACAATGGGCATCTTGGTTACAACTAGTCGTAGATTCTGCATTAGAGGAATATCGTGGAAAACCTAGTTATGCCAAAGCAGCGCGTCAATTCCTACTCAAGTGGAGCTTTTATAGTTCCATGGTAATACGCGACCTGACACTGCGGTCAGCGTCTAGCTTCGGTAGTTTTCATCTCATTCGTTTGCTCTATGACGAATATATGTATTATTTGGTCGAACATAAAATAGCCGAAGCTCAACAAAAGACCGCCATTGCTGTCATCTGCGATCGAATGGTAATTTTAAAATTATTTGGTCAATAAATTTCTACAAATAAATTAATTATTCTATTGCAGCAAAAGGATATTGACTTTGAATTCGATTATCAGTTGGAGTTTATCAATGAAAATCATACAGCCGATTGCGCTACTCCTTCGGTTGGTAATTCGGCGAAACGTTTAAAGCACGAATGAGTAAGTGCTGTCGCAGATTTTCAAAACGTATGTAGAACAACACCCAGTAGTATTCAATGCGGCGATGTTGGTGTTTTGCAAACAAAATTCGCCGAGTATCTTTGCTTATTGGCATCCTTATAGTAGTAACAATAGTCAAAAGTGAAAGCCCCAGCTACACTAAACACTCTTGAAACCGCAATAACTTTTAAATGTATATAACATACTTATGTGTGAATGCAAATATCTATGTATACATATGGGCGAGAACAGATACTTTTCTTTGTTTCTACAAAATACAAAGAATCAAGACATTCTATCCTAATTAAAATACTATATGTAAAAGAAAGAAAGCAGCAAATGTTGTAAAATTTAATTTTCACATTTTTTCCATTTCAAAAAAGGGTAAGCAAGTAATATTTGTAATTACCTCCAAATAGTGTTAAGCCGTCCATATAAAAAAAAAAAAACATAAATTTGCCGACAACCCCAATTATGCGCCATTAGTGGTCATGACTGTGGGTGTGAGCAAACTCATTTCGTTAAATGTAAAGTTATTTTTCTCAAAATTGCTCAAGGTGTAACAGTATATAGAAATAATGAATAGATGTCATATTTAAGTGTCATATCGTATATTTTATATGTTTATATGCATGTAGGCATATGTAAATGTATATACATATATTTTCGTGTAACTAAAGAATACTCGTCATAGTCAGTTTTGTAAGGTTTCATTAAGAAGACCAACAGAATTATATATATATATATATATATATATTTAAACTCGAAATTCTCTTTCACAGCAGAACTGAGTATTTGGGAAAACAAAATTTTTTTATAAATAAATTGCACATTCCAACATTTTTAATAATTTGCTTCGAATAGATATATAAAGTGTGAGGTAAATACACTCTTGGTTATTTTGTGAATTGCTCTCAACAAGCTTAACTATAAAACTTAATTAAAATTAATTTTAAAATATATATATATTTTTTTTAATTGTTACTATCTTTTTTATTCAACCAATGCAGTTACGTTGTTAAAAATGCCCAAACTTGCAAAGATAAACAATAGACCATGTATGATCGGGTGGTAAGCATTGCGTACTGCCACTCTGAAGGCCCGGGTGCAAATCCTGGTGCGACCAACATTCAAATGTTATAGAAATATAAATTTTAATAAAAAATTATGTAAGTTTTCCGATTGCGGGCGCACCTCAGGAGAGAATGTCAGCCCCTCCGAGTGTATCTCTGACATGAAATAAAACTCCGCATAAAAAACTCATCAGCCGTTCGAGGGCGGCTTAGTATAAACTGTAGGTCCCTCTATTTGTTGAGAAAACATCAAGACGCAAAACCACAAATTAGACGATTTAAAAGTCTTAAGACATTATTTTTTTCGTGATCTGTTCCGTTGCAAATTTAAATTCGATTTTTTTTTTTAGAAAAAGTGAAACAAATTTTTGAAGCGATTACTAAAAACTATTTATATTTATCGAAAAATTTGAAACGTTTCATTTTTTTATGGTTAATTAATATCTTGGAGTACCAATTCGATTCTACATGCTTCATACATACATATATATATTCATTTACCTAAAATTCTGTTTTTTGTTTAACTTAAATCTTTGAATGCATATTTAAAACAAAATATATAACATTAGGAATTGAATTTATTTGTGTATTTTACAATGTTTTACGATTCACCTAGACGTTATTTTTTCTTTGAAGAAAATTTTTGAAAAATAGAAAAAGGCCTTAAATGTGCAAAGTGGGTGCTACTTTGCTATACCGTTTTGTAAATACGCAATACTTGTTTGCGTTTAGGTACTAGAATAGTAAACAAAAAAGTAGAAAAATGAAAAATAAAATTTTATTTGAAACAATTCTTAAAAGGGCGAAAGTTTTTAAAATGGATTTGTACTTTGTACTTTGTGAAAAGTAAACAACTAAGAACCAACGCTTTTGATACAAAAAGCAATTTCTAATTTGTATTAGTCGCTTAAATATTGCATTGATTAAAACTGCTTTATGTTTATGGGAATTCAAATTACATACATACATATGCTTTAATATCCCTGGTCTCCGAAAGTGAACAAATTTGGAATGTAATCCTTAGAAAAAATATTAAGGATAAAAAAACAAAAAAAATTATAACACTTAAGATATAGCTTTGCCAGGGTCATAAATTAAGTAACTTTAGCATTTTATCAAAATATATTTAATTTTTTCTGCGTGGATCGGAAATTTTATTTTGCACAAAACATTAGTTATTAAATAAGGTTAATTCATCAGTTTCCTAGTCACTCGCCATAAGGAATTCATAACTGTTATTGCATTTAAAAGCTTTACGAAGTAAGAACATGTTCGTATAAATAAATATATATATGTTATTAATATAATGTGTGACAGTACTGCAACAAGAAGTCTTACAAGTGTGGGATTTTATAAATTTACAGACGTCGCATGAAGAAAAAGGTGTTTCCGTATGCTCAAAAATCAGTTGATCTCAACTCTTTTCAAATGGAAACAAATAAAATGGCACTTAACATACTTGTAAGATTCTATATAAAAGAAAAATTTTATAAAAAAAAAAAATAAATCAAATATTTTTGCAAGAAAACAATAACGAAAGAAAATTAATAACGATAGCACCTTAAACATACGTACATATGTACATTTGTATGTAATACATCTATAGTGTTAGCACCAAAGAAAAGTAATTACCAGGTGGGGTAATTCGATATACTGATTTCGATAATTTATTTACATTGCGTGAAACTTGACCATTTACTTTCTAGCAATATAGCAGTATTACATACATACATACATAGCAAATGGACAGCACAAAGGTATATGATAATATGGTATCATTTGCAAATATACATAAATGTGTGTATTAATTAATTAAGAAGAAATAAATCATTCCAATGCTCAATTTTTCATTGCATCATATCCATATATTCTTATATTTATAACTAAATATATATACATACATACATACATACATACATAGGTATATCATTTTAAAAATATATTGGTACAAAGTATATCGCGCAATTCGATTCACTCCTGCGAATAAATTCTTAATTGGTTGTTAAATGTAAGCAAATATGCTAATGACTATATACATACATATATATTTTTAAGGATTGTGAAAAAAAAATAAGAATACAAAATTTCCTTGTATGTATCTCTAAAACTTAAAACAAACTGTTTTGAAAATATATTTACTATGACTCTCAATTTGTGTATTGGAAAATAAATACAAAGTTACCAAATAATCCGACTATGATTTTTCTTTGTACTACACAATAAATCTGGGGTGTTACAGAATCAGAATTGAAATCGACAAAATTCTGCTGAAGGAGTTACACGTTCGGGTTATTGATTTGCATATCAGTTTCATATTCGAAAAAGAATTTTTGGCGTTTTTAAATACAGCCGACCAAATCCTCGGCTACCCTTTTCACCAGCTGGCCGAAGGAATACAGGCTTGAACTAGATGTGAAGGTTGATGGCACAAAAATTCCAACCGTAAACTACCCAAAGATATTGGGAGCGACACTTGACAGCCTGCACTACCTCACTCCGCATACGACCGCAATTGCCGCAAAACTCCAGAGCCGCAATAAAAAATCAAAGTGCTAGATTTCAGCACCTGGGGTAAAGACAAGGAAACTTTGGTGGCAACTTACAAAGCAATTGGCCGGTCGGTCGTAAATTTAGGTGCACCGATCTGGGCGCCGGGGCGACGAACGAGACGCAGATGAAGCAGCTACAGGCCTGCCTGAACAAAGCCCGCGGGACTGTGAGGGGAGTCCTGATACCGCCGGAGCATCACTTGCACAGTGAAGCATCTATACTACGAATTATGGAGCATAGTGCTTTGCTGTGCAAGCAGTTCCTATTGGGATGTTACCGCCGGGAGCACCCCAATAGGCACCTAATAGAAGCCGAACCTCCACCTAGGCACATTAGAAAGGGAGTACTCGACTTAAAAAACACCATCCAGCAACATGTACAACAACCGCTGAACAGGACGGCGTACAGACAGGCACTGCACGCCATTCACCAGGAGTCAGTCAACACCTTCAAAGACTCCCTTCCAGTGAATGGCGTGCTCGGAGTAAAAGCACCACCCATCGCAGACAACGAGCTCAAGCTGCCTCAAAAAACCCGCGTGACCTTGGCACAAATTAGGTCTGGATACTGTAGCAGGTTAAACTCCAACTTATTCAGACTCGACCACAGCATATCCAGCGTATGCCCTGCTTGTGGAGAGTCTTTGCACGACACTAACCACCGCTTCACATGTGCCGACTAACTTAACCTCTTCTCCCTCTGGTCCAAATCAGTCAAAACAGTACGTTTTCTGTACCTCACACTAGATAACATCGGCGACTTAGATTAGCGAAACCTGTACCTAAACAAGGTTAGGGAACCGCTACTACAACTACAACAACAACTAATTTATCGGTTTAAGTGTCAGAATTAGACCGCGCAGTTATTCGTTGACAGAATTGTGTGCAAATTTCTTTGCAAGCGGGAATTTAATAAAAATGTAAGTCATGAACAATAGATTTTATTCCAATTCATTCCTAAAGTTATCCAGAGTGCACAATTCAAACGTTCAAAAGCCTTTAGCATTTTTGTTATTTCCCACAGATTGTTAATAGAAGCCTTCTGTCAATATCCGCAGTGTCGCTGCAAGTTGGCGCACAGGTGGCATGGAGACAGCCTATCTAACTTATCTTCACCGGCATCCAGCACTATTACAGAGACTTCTTAGTTAAGACGATATTGGTCTATGAATCTACATACATAAAAAAATTTTTTACCAGCATATTTAAAATTATAATTCAAATTGCACTTACATCGTCTCTGGCAACTTCAGGAGATTGTTCCTAACCCTTAAAATTTTGGGCTTTATTTTTTCGCTGGTCTGTCTTTTATCGTCAAAACTAATATCACGGCTCAAGTCATATTATTTTTAATTAAAAATTTGTTAAAGCCAGTACATTAATTAAATTAAATTGCTGTGTTTTTTGGACAGGTGTAATGACAGCTGATTCGAAAATCGGTTTTGTGGAACCTCAAAAAAAAAAAAACAAAATTAAACAGATATTGATTTTCAATTCCGATAAATATGCAATTCTCATGAATAACAATTTGCTTCATTATATACAACAACTTATTTTACAACTCTCTTGCAGGCATACAATTTAATTCGCTGTCGTCACTACCAACCTCTCTACCCTAATGAGCTTAATAATGATATAATTATCAATATATTTTTTTCATCTGTTCTGTGTATTTAGCATTTTCATCACACTGGCACTAGCCCGGTCTAAGTTTGATCGTCCCTTTCAGACTTGCTTTTCCAAACGCTGCAAGCTTATTCAGATGGATCACTTTCCTCTTTATTCTCGGTAACCCAAAATCTAGATTCGATGTACTACATCGTACACTGGGGATTTGGCGGAAAACGTAAAATTTTCAATGGTATTTCTAAGTTCTTGAACAAAACGTGCTATAATTTCAATAAGAATTGCTATAATCCGACCAACGCTACTTTTTTATAGCTTCTCAAAAGTAACTTTTGTTCGTTGCGATCAAGGCAAATTCAAATGTGATTTTTTTTTCTTTTCCTTGACCAGTCTTTTTAATTTTTTGCTTTTTTTCATGTAATAAATGACACATTATCATGGTAAAATCGAGAGAAGATGGGCAGCAAAGAATTTGAGCACTAGTCAACAACAACAATAGAAATATTTGTGACTAATCTGCTACTCCATGAAGCTTTGGTTTCTGAAGCTTCATAGTTTCGTAGTCAATGGTTAGGGTTACCAACTATACTGGTTTTCCCAAACCCACAATTCGACCATCCTGCTTCGCATTCGCCCTCGAATAAATCGTGTCTCCTGCGGAATAATTCACCCATGGTTTCAGATATTCGGCACAAGTTGTAGTTCGGTTTCCCACTCTCTTGCTTTTGTTTTAAAGAATTGTTTGCTTTATTTTTACGATACGGTAAGGACCCAAATATTTTGGTCTTAGTTTAGGCCTTCCAACAAACTGTATATTTTCAAAATTTGACTGTTTGCCTGCTGCCTCAAGTCATCCCCTTTTTCCTGATATTATTGTCGAATTTCTTCTTCAACTTGGGGTACTTTTTTTAATAGCTTTCTTTGACACACCAGGCGTAAATCGTGTCAAGCTATCACATTATTTTTATACAGTGTTGTTTGGCATTCCATCATGACAAAAATAACGCCTGAACAGCGTTTACAAATCGTTCAACTTTTTTTTTAGAAAATTCACGTTTCGCTCAACTTATGGCCAACCTAATCGGCCCACTGATCATAACAACATCAACAATCTTGAGACACAGCATTCACAGTGAGGAGAATATAGCGGCTGTAGCTGAAAGTGTACACGAAGACCGTGGAGAGTCGAATCGGCGTCGCTTCCAGCTACTCGGACTGACGCATGGAACGACTTGGCGCATTTTACAAAGAGAACTTATATATGTAAATTGAAAGCGTACACAATCCATCTTCCAAGAACTGAAGCCACCCGACCTATGCAACCGACATCATTTCGCTTTAAGGTCTCTTAAAAAGTTCCAAGAAGATCCGACATTTTCGAGCCAAATTTTGTTCAGCGATGAAGCCTTTTTCTGGCCAATTGGCAGGTAAACTACCAAAATTGCCGTATTTAGAACGAAAAGCAACATGAAGAGATTCAAGGGCTTCCATTTCAATCAGAAAAAACAACGGTTTGGTGTGATTTGTTGGCCAGTGGAGTAATAATAATAAGCCCAACGGTTACTCACCCACCCAACCGGCACGAGTCATGAAAAGCAAGAGTTTGTAGGCAGATTTATAAGTTTTAAGCGGCTAGTGTGGTACCACACCGTTAGACCTTCTTCTGTAGGGATTTGTAAAGACTAAGGTCTATGCGGACAATCCCGCTTCGATTCAAGCCTTAAAGCAAAACATCACGCGTGCCATTCGCCAGTTACCAGTCAAAACTCTCGAACAACTCATCGAAAATTAAACTCAACGGATGGACCATCTTAGACGTAGTCACGGCCAACATTTGGATGAGATAATCTTCAAAAAATAAATGTAAAAGAATGTCCTTGGATCACCAAATTTATGCCCGTTTATTTGGATCGTCTTTGCTTAGATTCTTTAGAGCGTTGGTAATAATGCTCATTAAAATAAATAAGTTTACTAATTGCAGTCGCTCCTCGGCAGTTAACGTCAACCCCTCTGGGTGTGTTTCTGACGTGAAATAAAGGCTCCTCATAAAAAAACATCAGCTGCTCGGAAGCGGCGTAGTATAAACTGTAGGTCTCCTGTATTTTTGAAAAACATCAAGACTCAAGAGGAGCTCGGCGGAAAATCGTAAAATGGCTGTTTAGATGAATTGTGTTTAGCTCATCATATATCCGTTTATACGGCATTTTAATTCTCATTCAATCCTTTTGTGTTTCATAATGCACAAGAAATATTCTTGATGGTTGAGGTTTATACCTTTATCGACTGCTACGACATCGCTCGATAGATGTAACTGACAGGTTCAGGAATGTCAAACAAAGGCAACATGGAATATTTTTGAAGATACACATTTTCTTCCGCATCCCTTATATAGAGAACGCGTCGTTAAACCCTTTGATTAACTTGTAGGGTCTTCCCACTTGCTTTGAAGTTTTGGAAACCAATCTTTCTTCTGTTGTGACATATATTATATATAGCAACAAGAAATCTAACTATTAGAAATCCTCGCAGTTCATCGCCACCATTTAGCTTTTTCAGCTCTTTCTCTACGGCGTACAATAAACTTCAAATCACTAGGCAACCAATCCTCAATACCGACGAGTATATCCGCGATGGTGTTTACCCGTTGCTTCATGCACTGCTGCCCGTATATCCCTTTCAGAACAGAGATATGGGATAACCCACCAATCATCTCGATATTTTTCGACGACTGTCCGATCTGGCGACCGCAACAGCCGAGTGTTAAGCTTTGCGTACTGCAAAGTTCCGAGTCCTGGCTCAACCATCGACCAAAATTATTGCAAATTTATTGTTCTAATTGCAGTCGCCTCTCGCCAGGAAATGTTAGGCCCCCCTAGTGTATTTCTGACATGAAATAAAAGCTCCTAATAAAAATCCAAAGGCCGTTCGAAGGTGGCTTAGAATAAAATGTGGATCCCTCCATTTTTCGAAAAAAAAACACTAATTGGAGGAGGGGTTCGGACGAAAATTGCTTCTTACTTACTTACTTTACTGGCGTAGGCACCGCTTACGCGATTTTAGCTGATTTAACAACATTGCGCTATTCGTTTCTTCTTTTTGCTGTTTGGTGCCATTTGGAAATTCCAAGTACAGCCAGGTTCTTCTCTACCTGGTCTTTCCAACGGAGTGGAGGTCTTCCTCTTCCCCTGCCTCCATCGGCGGGTACTGCATCGAAAACTTTCAAAGCTAGAGTAATCGCATCTATCCGGACCACATGACCTAGCCAGCGTAGCCGCTGCTTCTTGATTCGCTGAACAATATCAATGTCGCCGTTTAACTCGTACAGTCCATAAATCTTGCGCAAAAACTTTCTCTCGAAAACTCCTAACACCGAGTCATCAGATACTGTCGTCATCCATGCTTCCGTACCTCGTTCATTACCAGACCCACGAAAATTGCTTCAGCGGTTACAAATATTATATACATACATCAGTATTTATCTGCGAAATTAAAAAAAAAAAATTCCTAAATCACACACCAAAACTTAGTGTTGTTTTTTTATTTCTCTTGTATCCAGAGGCGTAAATCGGAATTGCAGGCTCTACACGTTTCTTTAGGTGAATTACTCACGTCTTTACCAGCATTTCAAAACACCATTCTCGCATAATTGTTTATACCAGTAAGGCTGTTTGCAACATAGCAGTATTGTTGCAAATTATTTATGTAAACATTAATCCATTTTTAATTTAGTCGTGTAAAATATAGGCGTAAGTACAGTGAGTTTTCTGCGCTATCCGTAAAAAAAAAATTCGAACTTGAAATGGCATTTGCATAGCAGGTAAACGCCTATGGCGCCGCTCATAGCCATAATAATGGTGACTTATTTAAAATAAAATTATAAAATTTAATTCAAAGATGCTAAGCAAACGCAACGATATCATTAAGTTACGCTTACAAGAAAAATTAACTCAACATACCGAAATCAATTCGTTTCGGCACCATTATATCAAAACGAAATGAAATCGTTAACGTTGAAGCCGCAGACACTACACGTTAACGTTAATTTGAAAACGAATGCTTGCTGTAACGGCACACTTTAATAGTTACGTTTAACATTATCGGTTAACGATTTAACATTAACGACAGCTCGTTTCAGGTAAAATCGAAATAAGATTTATTTTGACAACTGTTTTAACGATAACGTTTCCAAATGCTTCAACCGAAACGATAGAAATATTTGGATCTATCAGAAATTTACTGTTAAATAGATTTGGTAACAATTTTTGCAGAAAATGCCCACATACGATTATGGACAGTATCAATTTTGCTACTTTTCAACGACACACTGTAAAAATAGCATGAAAATGCCATCTATCGTGAGTCTCGTTTAAAAATACACACAAAAAATGAGTTCCCCGTCCCAAAAAAAAACAGTACAACACCATAAATTTCCAGAATACAGGGCGCTTAAACTTTGAATTCGCGTAAAAAACATTCATTTCGGGGTTTCGTTTCATCAAATACGTAGAATCTTGTAACACTGTGTATCATGCAATCCCCAAAATATTACAGGTCGAAAACGATATAATCTAAATTAATTATTTAATATGTAAAATTAAGGCGAGTTCCAAAACGTCAACTTGTAATGATACAGTTGTGAAACACTGCAACGCTGTATACTATAAATTTGCTTTGGAACAACAATACTTTCTCAGCTCTGGCATTTTGGAACGCTTTTCGCGCAAATAAATTGTTTTTTGGTGAAATGGCTAAAATATAAAACAGATCAAAAAAAATAAGTAATCAGGGGTGTTACAGAAACTGATTATTGTCGGAATCAGAATTAAAACAGACCAAATTCTGCTAAAGGGGTTACACATTCGGATTATTGATTTGCATATGAGTTTCATTTTCGTAACAGAATTTGTGTCGATTTTGAGTGCCTCAGAAACCGATTTATCGGTTTAAGTGTCAGAATTAATCCGATCGTTGACAGAATTGTGTGAATAGATTTTACAACCAGCAATGCCTGGAGTACAGTACTTGATGCAAAAATGGCCACGAACTCTTAGTTTTTTATTGTCGTTCAAAAGCCTCTAGCATTTCTGTTATAACCATAGAGACTGTAGGTCGCGCTAAGGAGATATTTGAGTCCCACAGACCGTTGATAGAAGCCTTTTGTCAAAATCCGCAGTGTCGCTGCAAGTTAGAGCACAGGTGGGATGGACAGCATATCTAAATTATCTTCCCCGACATACAGCACTCTTACAGAGACTTCTTAGTTAAGACGATATTGGTCTATGAATCTACATACAAACAAATTTTGTATCAGCAAATGTAAAATTAAAATTCAAATTGCACTCACATCGACTCTGCCAGCTCCAGCGGATTGCTCTTATCCCTTACAACTTTGCGCTTTATTTTCTGGATGATTTCTCCAAATCATTCTATCATCAAAAATGCTATCACTGCCGAGGTCATTTAGTTGTTTTTAAAAATCACAAATGTGTTAACAATTAAATTGAATTGCTAGATTTTTTGCACAAATGTACTCGTAATGACAACTAATTCGAATATTCGAAAAAAGGAAATTCAAGTCGGTTTCATAACACCATTTCAAAGAGATATTGATTTTCAATTCCAATAAGCAATTCAGTGTCGGTCTTTATAACACACCTAAATATAATATTGAAAAACCACGTCGGCCGTTGTTGCTATGAATCTATGATAAAATAAAGCATCACAAACCTTAGCGATGCGCATTTTGCCTTTGTTTGTACATCAATAACTTTACCGATGCATTTTATACCATGATACATCGTCAAAGCTTTGCAACTGGCGGAATTCACCATAACCCTAAAAAAACTGTATGGTATATTTTTTGCTGTCGTGGCCATTTGGTTTCGCTTAGGGCAAGAACAAGAAGAACACCACCGTAGTACGAGCATATCTATATTGTCAATTCATTACCCCTCTCCAATCGGAATTTGTCGATTAGCCAAGCTTTTTTCAACGAAATACATTCAATTTGTTTATATAAATTTTTTTTATATATATTTAATTTTTTTTTTCATATACAAACTTTAAATAATAATTTTTAACAAGTTTATAAAAATTAGCTTTTTCTAATGTGTGGTTTTTATTGTTTCAGATACAAAAATTTGTTCATTTACAGCTAGAGAAATGTTTGCGCATTATTGCAACCTTACGGCAATATGCCTACGCTAACAACTGCTGATTTTCCTTTACGCTATACTACAATACGTACTTAAGTAAATAAAAAAATAAGTCTTATTATAAGATAATTTATAAGTTTGCATTTATAGTTAAATACACGTCTACATTCAACAGCACTCATTTCATTTGATTTTCATACATACATACTACCATAGGTACATACATGCATATGTAAATATTTTCGAAAAAAACACTCGTGGAAATACCTAAGCATACAATACATTCCTGTAAGAAAATCTGATATATACAGTTGTATATACATTTAAACCATACAGACATGTGGTTACAAACAAATTTGTATTTTATTAAAGATTCATTTCCTTATGCGCCACCTAAATGGTATATAAATTTTTTATAAATTTTTATGTATGTAAATTAAGTTTGTACTATTTCATTTAAGTGTGATGACGGTAATTTTTCGAAAATGAAGTAAAAATGACAAACAAATTTCTCCAGACTTTTACTTTCTGTCAAATTGAACCGTTAAGTTTAGCAATTAATTTAAATGATTGATAAACAAAAATTAAAGGTATTTCATTAAATGCAAACAGCAAACGAATTATTAAGTTTCGGTACATTTTTTGTTGTATCCAAAAATAATGCTATATCATACATACATATATTGTTATTAGATGACACTTTACAATTACTTTGTATATACATTGAAATTTGTTATGTTGATTTTATTTATTTGTATTTAATAAAATATTCCAATTGACTGTTTCAATGAGGTATGGAAAAGACCTTCGGCTTAGCACTACTTATTTATTATGTATACATACGTATGTATGTTTATGTTTAACCCTTTATAAAAGTTAATACTATTGTACAAAAAATTCTGGAATTTTGTTTTCATTTGATATCTCAAATACTGACCTGGCAAGATTGGCTTTATTTACGACTTACAACACTATGCTGTTTGTTATATTTTCTTTAGAATGTAAAAAAAGGTAATGTATTATGGAATGACATGAAATGCACTATAACATACATTATTTAACATTCCAGAGACGCTCGAATTCATTTTTTACAATATTTTAAGTAGTTAAATGTGTGACTTTAGAGCTTCGTTTCTTAAAATCTAAATTACATTATAGTCAATCAAATTTTCGAAAATCTCACAAACTCACTTCTTTTCGTTTCATTATAATGTATATACAAGTGAAACAGGTACAAAAAATATATATAATATATATTACTTTAAATATTATAACGCTAGGTCACAGTATTTAAATTTCTTCGCTGAAAACATCACACATCAATTTGTATTTACAGCTTCTTGACTAGAACACAATCAAAGCACGAAAGTTTGCACCCCGTCGCACCGTTTCAGAATAATGGTGTATATGTCAATAGCTTGAATTTCTCTATCCATACAGTAACTATCACATGATTTTTTTTTTATGTTTAACTTACAGATGTTTCCAAAATGTCAATCAATATTAAGCTAATTTCTCGCTCAAGTTGGCCAATTACATGGTAAGTAAGTAATAGACGATGTAAGCCGATTCAAATATATACTATTAATGGTTACACATCACCATAACACCAAGCTTTAGCTGAGGCGTATTTTTTATAAAACAAAATTATCTGTCCAGAAACATTCAATTGATCTTAAGGAAGAAATAGTTTTAGTATTAAAAAAAAATATTTAAAACATAAGCAAAATAGTACTGTGATTGTGTTCTTTCCATTCAAGCTTTACATTACAAAGCAATTGTCTTTCCCAATTAATTAAAAGTGAACTTACAAAACAAAGAGATCAAGTAATGAAAATAAATGATATGCATTTTTTAATTAGTCAAGTTAATAAAATTTGATACGTGCCCAAAAAATAGTGAGATAACTTACTGTTTGGTAAGGCTTAGACTAAAATTAAAATAAGAATATTTCAAAATCATATGATAAATGCATAAAATAAAAAGAAAATCGAAAAAAATAAAAAATATTCAAATCTTAATATTTGCTTTTGAAGAACTAATAGTTATGAGTAGAAAACGGAGCATGCGATACCTAAACAACTTATCTTTTTATTATTAATCATTGATTAAATTTAGCACAAACAAACTATAGGGTTCTTATTATCTAATACATGTTTGTTTTGATATTACTGTAGTCTGAAATGTTTTAATTTTTTTCACCAATTTTGATGTTCAGTAAGGTACATTCACAGGTAAAAGTCATTAAGACACTGCTCTCATGTCATGAAACAAGTTAACAAATGTCACTTTTGGTTTTTATATCCAAGCGCTTACCCGAATTGTACACCAATGCATATGTACATACATGCATATGATATATTTATTTTGTTTTATTATTTTTTTTTTTTTATTTTGGTAATTGCAACTTCTCAAAACAAAAAAAAAATGGTTCAAACTATTTAACAACCGAATATGCTCCGTTTGTAGTTTTTTCATATAATTTTGTGTTTATTGTTCAGCCTAAAAGGAATTTAACAATTGCGCAAACTTTATATTTAAATTTTACTTTGCGAAAATTATGAATTTCGTCAATTTAATCCACGATTCTATAAAAAAAACTAAAAACTAGGGCTGATATGAAAGAAATTGCGTTCACATTTTATCCCTTATGAAATTATTATGAAATTAGTTAATGAGAACCCTAAAAGTATGTAAATATGTATGCATACGAATAAATATATGTATGTGTGACAAATTGATTGACCATGCCTTTTTTAAATATTGCTTAAATTATTATGAATAATATGTGGTGAAAAAGGAAAATACGTGTAATTTACAATAACACCTTTTTACTTATTGAACATATTGACCAATTTCATTTTCTAAACAAGTATGTACTTTAATTAGAAAAAAAAAATATTTTGCTCCAAATTTATTAACTAATACGATTGACATGTGTTCAGCATGTAGTGCAAATTATACAAAAGTTTTTCCTATTCTTTTTAGATTTTCACTTTGTAAAATATTTCTTGTTTACCAGTGTTGCTTTAAAAACGAATAAAGTTAGCAAGAATGCGTTGTTATACGTTTAATAGAGAAGGTAATATGATCGAAAATGATAATGTATGATTATAGCTCTGGAGATATTTTGTTGCAAACTTTACTTCTTTCCAACTAACCTCTAACTAAGCGTATACAGTATATATTATATTGTTACAATATAATAATTATAGAAATATTTATGTATGTACTATGTATATAAAGATAAAGATTTATGTAATTAATGTATATGGATATTATAATGAGCTTTTTTTTCCTCCTTCTTCTCACTATGTAAGACCTGTTCTTTAGGAACAATTGCCTGAGTGGCTCTTTGTGTAATTTGGTTTGTTTAAAATAATATTTAAACAATGCGATTGACTAATTGTATTTTGCGACGATTATTCGATATTGAGCCATTTAACTGAGTTGCGCCCAAAGTAGAGAGGGCACCACTTACACTGCCAATGGTAGTGCCTGTCGCTGTATTAATCGCCTGTATTGAGGTTGTATTGCTGCCATTTGTTATCGTTTGCACAACAATATGCTGTGGCTGCACTTTATACTGTTTTATGCTGTGCTGAATTTGTTGTTGCTGCTGCTGCTGCTGTTGCTGAGTTTGCTTTTGTTGATGTTGATGTTGATGTTTTTGGAGAACTAGCTGTTGTTGCTGTTGTAATAGTTTTTGTTGTTTAATTTGCTTCTCCACCTCTCCAGCAGGCCCAATCGCATAGTTTATATTTAAGCGGGCACGCTTCGGCGATTGAGCAGCAACATTTAAGTCGGCTGGGCTTAGCTCAATTATGTCAGGCTGATTGATTGATAAACGTGTATGCAGGGCAGCTTTATCGTCTTCGATATCAATTGCATCGTAAATATCTTCCACCTATAATCGAAAAAGAGATCATGATGAATTGAATAAAGTTTTACTAGTGTATACATAACAGTAACAAATTAGTTAAATACATCTGACTAAGAACATAACTATTCAACTTATTCATATACAAGTATGGAGAAATTATTTTGATTACTCCAAAAATGTTTTTTAAATATAATTAGTTGACAGTTTTTTTTTAACAATTAAATAGGAAAATCTCGATTCCACTCAAAATTTGGTCCAAAACAGAAAAGTACCAGATATGATCATTATGACGAGTTGCGTTGAATTTGTCCCTCAATTTTTAAAAGATTTCAGCCAATACAGATGTACTAGTGTATTTAGTCGATCATTTGTCGTTAAGCAGATTGGACGATAAATTTGACAAAAATGCGTCTGAGGGCGTGATTGTGCGAAAATTGTCGAAATCGGAGGACTATAGCATACACCTCCCTACCGACTTTTTCAGATAAGCGACTTTAGTAAAAACTCCGTCAAAAAAAAACAATCAAGAGGATGAAATTCGGTATTATATACATATTCGTCGACGACGAATGAAATTTAAGTGTGCTCTGCCCAATCCATAAAAAAAGGACCCCGCGGTCTGCACCAATTACCGTGGGATAAGCGACTTCAACAACGCATATAAGGCCCTATCGACCGTTTTGTGCGAAAGACTAAAGCCCACCCTCAACCAAGTGGCTGGACCTTATCTCTGTGGCTCTAGACAATTCCCATCACCCCTTCATCGATTTTAAAGCTGCCTTCGACAGCATAAATAGAAGCTGCCTTTACGCCCCTATGTCTGAATTTGGTATCCCCCACAAAACTTATATGGCTGTGTTAAATGACGTTAAGCCATACTAAAAGCTCCGCCAGGATCGGGAAGAACCTCTCCCGTTCGATACCAAACGAGGTTTCAGCCAGGGTGTTTCCTTATCGTGCGGCTTTTTTAACTTATTACATTTAACTTTTTGCTGGAGAAAGTAATACGATCTGCAGAGCTAAATAGAGAAGGTACAATCTTCTATAAGAGTATACAGCTGCTGGCGTACGCCGATGATATTGACATTAATGGCCTCAACGACCGCGCCGTGAGTTTTGCTTTCTCCAGACTGGAAAAGGAAGCGAAGGATATGGGTTTGGTAGTGAACGAGGGCAAGACAAAATATCTCCTGTTATCAAACAAACAGAAATCGCATTCGCGATTCGGCTCCCACGTCACTGTTCACAGTAATAAGTCGAGGTCGTAGATAATTTCGTGTATCTAGCACCGACAATATTCGATGCAGTACCCGCCGGTGGGAGCAGAGGTAGGGGAAGGCCTTAACTCTGTTGAAAAGACCAGTTAGAGAAGGACCTGGCTGTACTTGGTAACTCCAATTGGCGCCGAACAGCAAGAGAAGAAAGGAATGGCGCAATATTGTTAAATCGACTATAATCGCGTAAGCGGTGCCTACGTCAGTAAAGTAAGTAAGTAATACATATACGTATCTACAAAAAAAAAGTTGTCACCGAAAAATCATCGAAATCGGAGAACCAGATCATGTAGATGACGAGGTTTGGGTCAAAAATTCGTCAAAAAAGCATCAAAGAGTGTAATATTTTTTATTCTACTCAAGTGTACACAAAATAAACATCGATACCAAATAAGCTCCTCCAACCATTGTTTCAGATAAGAGAATTATTATAGAGTCCTAAAATGAAATGCCATAAATTTGATATGATCATGAAAGGTATAATACTACTTAGGCCAAAGCCGATTATTTTTATTTTTGTGCCACTAAGTTTTTACTGTGACGCGCAATGGGATAAAAGTGCTTAAAACACGCGCTGGTGTAATTTCTATTAATTGATTATTAAAAATTGGTACAGTTCCTACCAATTTTTATATTCACTCTTCTTGGGACTGACACCCTACAGTCCAAAATTAAGATATCTTACAAAACTTTTTATTCAAAAGAAAGTGCAAATATTAAACATTTCCCACATGATTGAGGTTACTTTCTCATTATACATAAAGGAATACTATTTTTTTCAAAGTCCGTGACATGTAAATTTAGCAGATTTCTTCAATAAAGATGAATATTTTTCCTTGAAAAACTTTATTAGAAAGAATGAGGAATTTCTTTCATTTTCTAGAAAAGCTTACCGTTTATCTTCCTCTCTGTTGTGTTATTCTGTATTGATCACTTGCCACTGTATATGTGTATGTTACACGGTGTGTCCCAAAAATGACCGAACTTTATGTTTAAATCATACAACATACAGCAGCGCCATCTATTGTAAATTTGCAACATTAAAAAGATACATTCATCATCTTTCAAACGCACCTAACATCATGTAAGTCGGATGACAGATGTAAAAGTGACAGCCATTTCAATAAAACCAAAAGTGTGCGAATGGTTCAAAAATAGAATGGAACAAAGAGCAAATATAAAATTTTGTGTCAAACTTGAAAAAAAATTAATGAAAAAAGCTTATTGTGATGATTGTATGAGTCGTGCGCAAGTTTATACGTGGTTTACACGATTTAAAAAACGGTCGTCCAGAAACTAGTAATCGCGCTTAACTGGTGGAAAAAGTTCGTGAAATCATTGGTGTCAATGCAAATTTTACTACGAGAATGTTGGCTGAGGAATTGAATACGAGTAAAAAACCTATTTGGAGACTTTTAACTGAAGATCTGGAGAAAAGAAAGGTCTATGCGCGATTTGTTCCACATGAACTAAATGACGACCAAAAAATCGCTGGAATTTTTAATGAAAAAAGTGATTTCTCTCATCGACCATCCTCCGTATTCACTTGATCTATCACCATTTGACTATTTTTTATTTCCAAAGCTGAAAACCAAGATGAAGGGAGCATTTTATGATGATATCCTAGCCATTCAAGCAGCCGTAACCGAGGTACTGAAGAACATTTCTATAAATGACATAAAAAAATCTACGCATGCGCTGGTTGATCGTTCCAAACGTGTGTTGAGTCAAATGGAATCTATATTGAATAAATAATAACTTTCAAAGATAATATAATGTGTATGTTATTTTATATCCAAAAAGTTCGGTTATTTTTGGGACACACAGTGTATATATAACTTTTAGATTTTGGGAAGAGAATGAAACTCGACATTCTAAATAGATTACTTAAAATAAATGTTCACACTGAAAACTATATATATCCGTTTTACTATATTTCCTGGATTTAAATTTTAAATAAGCAGTTACTATTTGTTTTATCTTTATTAACAAATGCTAAGCTTTTAAACAAATAACGGTAAGATTAATTCTTGAATTTCTTCTGGTATTGCAACAAGACGACCTAATCTAGGTCCACCAAGCGAATTTGCTTATTTTATAAACTAACAATTGCATTGGCGACAGCAATAGTCGACTGGTTAGCATTGTGTTCTGCCATTGGGAAGGTGAGGGTTTGGGTCCTGGTCAGACCAACATCCAAAATTAATTTTTATAATTGAGATCGTTCCTCCACAGGGAATGTCAAGCTTTCCAAGTTTATTCTAAAGTGAACTAAAAAAAAAAACTCCTCATAAAAAAATCGGCCCTTCGGAGGCTGCTTATAATAAACTGCAGGTCCCTCAATCTCATGTAAAAACATAAACACGCAAACCAAAAATTTGAGAAGGAGTTGAGACAAAAATCGCTTCATGAGTTACAAAGCGGCAAATACATACAATTGCAATTATTTGCTTGAATTAATTTTTAATTTTCAGACACAAAAAAATCAATTTTGATTGCCCAGTTGCTAGTCGGGGTAGATATCGAAAATTGTAGAGAGAAGCAAGACGCATAATAAGCTGAAAAAAATTAAAGAGGCCGAGATGTATGAGTATGAAGAACTTGAGAAGCTTTGTAGGTTAGCTATGAAGGCAATGCAGAATGTTTCAATACCGGAACAAACTCGTTAAGGACCCAAAGAAGTAATCTAGCAACTGATGCTCACAGTATACAGAATTTATGGAGAGAGCACTTATCCAGTCAGCTGAATAGCAGTGAAACGGAACACAGGGAGATGGCTAATGTTTTTTTTTCCCCCCGACTTTGAAGCAGTTCGTATAGCAATTGCACGTGTTGCTGGATTGTGTCCTTTAAATCTCGTACTCCCTTTCGGATGTGCTTGGTTGGAGGTTCAGTCTCTATTAGATGCCTGTTGGGGTGCTACCTGAGGTAGCTTGCAAAGTAAAGCATTAAGTTCCTTAACTCAGCGCATAGCTGCTTCGCTGTGCAAGTGAAGCTCCAGCGACATCAGAAGGTTTCCTGTCGCAGTCCTGAGGACGGTGTTCTGGCAAGCCTGTAAGTTCTTCATTTGCGTCTCGTTCGTCCCCGACACCCAGATCGGTGCAGCATAGTTTAAGACCGGCCCGCTAATTACTTTGTAAGTTGCAAGCAAAGTATCTTTGCCTTTACCCCAGGTGCTACCGCCAATCACTTTGAGTATTTTGTTGCGGCTCTGAAGTTTTGCGGCAGTTGGGGTCGTATGCTTAGTGAAGAAGTGAAGGCTGACTAGTGCTACTCCCAATATCTTTGGGTTGTTTACAGCCTATATTCCTTCGTCCAGCTGGCGAAGCGAGTAGGCGAGGATTAAGTCGGTTTTATTTTCAGTTGCAGAAGAAGAAATATCGCGCAGTGATTAGATTCTTTGATTTGAAACGTTTAAAAGCAAATGAAATTTATGAACAATTATTAGAAGTATATAAGAAGTCCTCAAATTTGAATTTTGGGCTGTTGAATTTAAACATGGTCGTACTCGTCGTACTAGGCTTAAAGATGATCCACGCGCAGTGCGTCCAAAAACTGCAGCCACGCCAGAAGTCATTGAGCAAGCTCATAAAATATTCGTGAAGATCCAAGTTTTACTAAGCGTAAAATTATTAATGCATCTCAGACTGGCTCGAAAAGAAATCGGTGAGAATATTTTCAAGAATTTTAAGCAGAATAAACCCGATTTCTTGCATCGTGTTAAAACTTTAGATGAGACGTGGATCTACCCCCATGATCCTAAATTGAAATATGAAATGTTTACCCTGGACTGAAGCTGGTTGTTTAGTTACAAAGTAGGTCACAAGGCACAACAATCAGCAAAGAAAGTTACCGTATCAGTTTTTGGGACACAAATGGATTTTTTTTGATTGATTATCTGCAGAAGGGTAACAATCAAGTTTGAATATGTAGGATCAGCTGGATGAAAAAACTCGTGGTGTGCAGAAAAAAAAATAATTTTTCATCAAGACAATGTACTTGCTCACAAAGGTTTTTTAATAATAACAAGATTCAACGAATTGACGTATGAGTTGCTTAAGCATTCACAGTATTTACCAGATGGGCTCCCAGCGACACCTATCTTTTCAGAAACCTGAAACAATTCTTTCGTGGAAAGAGTTTTTCGTCGAATGAAGAAACGATTGCAGCCGTGGACAAGTATTTTGCAGAGCTTCCGGAGAGTCATTATAGGGATGGCAAAAATTGTTGGAGGATCATTGGAATAAATATATCTAAGTTAATGGAGATTATATTGAATAAAAAAATATATTTCGTACCAAAAACAGTATATTCCTTATTTCGACCGCAGAAACTTTTCAATCAACCCGTTTTTACATGAAATAATGTGTATTTTTCAGCTCTGCTGAGGGGTAATAACATTTTATTGCAGAAATCAAAAATGAAAAAATCTATATATGTAGTTCATACAAAATGGCAAATGTACCTTCTGCTGAAGCTCATGCACTTTTTGCATCACCTTCTCCATTCTTTCAATTTTGTGTGTCTGCAAACTCACCTCTATATCAAAATCTCGATTTTGTTGCATCTCCACATCCTCGCTAGCACCACAACCACTCAGATCCGCTGACTCACTAAGCGCATCGGAGCTAGTTATAACAATGCCACTACTCAACAAATCGTCCTCTTCAATATCTTCTTCAACAAACATATTATCAACAATGGTATCGTCGAGCTCGTGCTCTTCCAGATCCGAAGCCTCTTCAATATCCGATTGACTATCTAATTCGATATCTGAATCTCCAGAGCTGCCGTGCTTCATTTCGCCGCGCTCTAATGCTTCTAAATGATCGGGATGTACCATTGCATTTCGTATACCCATGGGATCTTTACGTGACCACTTTTGTACTTCATCGTCCATCTTAACAATGCGTTCTGGATTCATGGCCCAAAGGCAACCTTTACGTTGATTACTATTTGTCGCGGGCTTTTCAATTTTTTCAAAACATTTATTAAGCGAGAGATTATGGCGTACACTGTTCTTCCAACCACTCGGCGCAGTACGAAAATAAGGAAAATGTTCACACATAAAGCTATATATCTCCGAAACTGGCAATGATCCACTTCTAGAATTTTTCAACGCCATTGCTATTAGACAGGAGTAAGAATATGCAGGTTTTGGGAACTCAGATTCCACTGGTGCTATTTTAATTCGTTGTTGTAGCGGCTTTACAGATATCGTTGTGATCGTTGTGGTGTTAGCAGAGGACGATGATGGATTGGTTGTCCCATTGGTGACAGCTATTGGTATGAGACTCGCAGTAAAACTACCACTGGTTGAAGCAGTCGACGGTGAGGAGTGCGAGGACGACGAGGATGATGATGGTGAACCCATAGAATTGCTACCATTCTGCATGAGGGGAGAATGCACCGATGCGATGCTCTTGGGTGTGAAAGTTGAGTTCTGTATATTTCTCCCCGTCAATTTTGTTACATGCTGTTGGCCACTGCCAATGCTACCGTTGAGATTTACAACATTCATATTATGCAACGGACTTGAGTCACGTTCTCTCTTATGCATTATTGTGTTATTTGAGTTGACTACTTGGCTATTTTGTGTGTTTTTCGCAGCCGAATGTTGTTTTAACTTATTATAGGCTATGCTGTTGGCAAAGGTTAAACCACCAATGCCGGGTGCCAGTTTGATAGTATTCGTTGTCGTACTATTCAGCATACCACTTGAGTTTAACAAACCACTGCTGACTAAATTATTGTTCCCGCTACTAGCATTCTTCGACGAGCCATTTACATGGGAGTTATTATTGGCATTGCCTCCGCCATTGCTACATGAGGCACTGACTCTTGTCTCCTCAGTAACAGTAGTAACTTTTCGTAACTCTACACCTAAATCCTTTTTGATGGTCTCCACTGCAGTTGAGTTCTTCCGCTGCAACGCCGAATTCGTCGCCAATGTGGCCGGCGCTGTAGTACCCGCGGTCACCGTCGACGAAATCGCTACAATCTGCTTTGGTATATGTGAATAAAGCTGCTCGTTACGCATCGCACCGGCGCTAATTTTTAATTGGGCAGGAGAAAATGTTAAATGCGATTTGGTTTCATTTACATTGGGCGAGGCAGGTGGCGGCGAGTATACATTTGCATTTAAATTTACTTTCGGCGACTTATGTAGCAATGATGAGGATATAAATGGCATAACGGATATTGGATCCACACATGCGCCCACATCAACATAGTAATCATTCGATGATGACCATGACGTTCCTGAGCCATTCCCCAGCCAAGTAGAAAAATTGGTTGAAGAGGATGTTAGAGCGCCGGAATGCAAACTATGGATATTCAAACCATTATTATTGTCCATGACATCAACAGTGTTATCGAAATTGGGCGGTAGATCGTTTACTATAGATGAGAGTTCATTGCCACCGCCTACTACGTTCGAAATTTCGCTGCGTATATCAATATCAAGCATATCCTGCAACGAATCTGAGATGTATAGATCCAAAGTGGGCCTCGAAGTGTCCTGAAAATATATATTGTAACAAAAAATAAGAATTAATTAATATTATATTATATATTATGTGGTTTATCGGGTAATCTTGCAAATATTTTTGGACCATAATAGGTACTCCTCTGCAGAGTACTATTGGCTCAACTCACGTCTCGCTGGACTTGAGACCGATTTATTCGAGAAAAAAGCGAGCGAGAAAAAAGCAGTGTCCGGCGCTCGAAGTGTAACCAAGGAAAAAGGCCATAAATTCAGTTTGGAAAATTACTTTTAATCAATTCAAATGTGTGAAAATAATAAAACAACGGAAACAATTCACTTTTGCTCGATATTACCACCGTTTGCCTTGACTATGGACTTCAGACGGTCCAAAAACGATTCGTAAGCTGCCCGAATGTGACTTGCAGGTATTTTGGTCCACTCAAAGACAACGACTTTTTTTAGCGTCTCGAGACTGGTGTAACTTTTAGTTCGGACCTCGCTCTCCAAAAAAAAAACCAGCCATTCACAATTCTTGGAAATTTACCACTTTCGGCTAAATAAAGCAACTCCTTCGCTCTCTCAAGTCAAACTTGTTGCTGCTTGGATGTGAGATCACGTAAAAATTAAGTTGTTTCCGAATTTTATAATATTTTCACTTATTTTGTAATTGGAATTGATTAAAAGTAATTTTCCAAACTCAATTCATTGTATTTTTAATTGGCCGCATTCGAGTGCCGGACCCTGTATTTTTTTTTATTGGTAGAATTGCATAAAATTTGGTACACAGGTAACTCTTTGCATGAATTGGTATGGAGAAGTGGGCCCGGCACCGATCTATTCCAAAAATTTGTATTTTTCTTTTACATAAAAATTGGACCTTAGTAACTCTGGCCCCAAGTCGCCAATGCGAACCACCATTACTTAAATAATATTAAATATATAAACAATTAATACTATTAATATAAGTTTATATGGTAAATATTATGTTTTATTAACTTTTCACCAAAGAGAATTGCATTCGAAGCGGAAAAGTATATTCGAATCTATTAGTCGAATGTTAAGCAAGGATAGAGTACTTGATCCAGCTCTAGGACATCGCAACGATAATTGGACCATATTTTTGATATGGATTGGGGTTAGTGGTATATTTAACGTGTGCATGGAGTAGTCGCGTTGTTGGCAGGGATAAATCTACACTATTCAATCAGGAAATTCCAGTGTAAACCAGGCAGTCAGAATTGGCAAAGTGGAAAAAGTAGGCCAAGCCCAATTTCTTTAGTTTTACATATAATACATTACCCATATGTACACAAATACATACATACGTAAAGAATGTGTATGCTACATAGCCAGTGGACCTATGCCAATTTATTTGTAAATGAGACTTCTAAAAACCAACAATAACAACTCTTAAATGTTTTCATAATTTTTACCTGTACATGTATATACATACTTGTACATTTATACCTACATACATTCATACATGTGTTTTTATTCCTTATTGTAGGTTTTACAAATTTCTTCTGTGTCCTCTTCTTCAGTACCAAGAAACAAGGGTAAGCAAGAGTCGTCGTGAATTTGTCAAGTTCTACACCGCCTTTTCATACCCGAATGATGTATCGACCGAAAAGTCGTGTAAAAAGAAAGCAAGGAAAATTACATAGAAGATAACGCGCTAGAAGTTTATGACATGAACATAGTAAAAAAAGAGACCAGAAAAAAAAAAATATGTACATATGTACATAGGTATACCCTGCAAACAAGCGAGTACAATAGAGTAATTCCAAACTAGCCTAAAATTTATTTAAAAAATATGGTCCAATTAGCATTTCGATATCCTAGAGCTGGACCTTTACAAAACAACCGGGTAAACCATGGAGTACACACCGTGGGACTGTATTATGAAGAAAACTAAAAAATTACAATCGAACATATTTTTAGTTTCGAATGCAATGCGCTTTGGTGAAAAGTTTCTAAAACTTAATATTTATCATACACATTTTAAAATTTATTAATAATTTATTACATATTACAATTTAATCTGTTTGATTATTTGCATTGGAATGTTTTTGCTCAAATTTATGCCCGTCATCTGTATATCAACGAAGCGAAACTGGCGCAATTTCATGTTCATACATTTTTTGTATTCGAGTATAATAGATCCACATTAAATCGATTAGCCCCTCTAGCCTGATTAATTTTATAAGGTCTGGTTAAAGTAATGTTAAGAAATCGGAGGGCAGAATAGACCACTGGTCACGGTGCATATCCTCTTTCTAATCTATCTATCCATAATAAATCTTATAGTGCAATTGCAACTTCATTTACTAATTTCGATTGTTAAAACATAAACAACCTTCAGCTAACAATGTGCTGGTAGCGATACGTCAATTGATCCAATAGTACACTACAGAGGAGTACTAATTGGATTACTCCAATCAGACATTGGTCTAAAAATGCGAAACTCTGCACATATACATAGGTACAAAGTTAAAAAATCACGTTATTGTTTCACATTCATCTAAATTCTAATATATGAATATAAATATGTACACACACACAAGCATATGTAGTATGGCTGTGTATACGTTGCAAGATTTTTCCCGCGCGCAACCAAAAATCACTTAAGCAAACATTACGAGAAGTAAACAAAGTTTAAAAAATACACACATATGTATGTGTACTTATGTACATAAACGTATATACACAAATATGAAGGGACAAACAAACTCCAATTTTAGCACACAACAAAAAAGATTGTTGATAAGTACTCGTATAAAAGACGAACGTGGAAATGAGCAACCGTGTATAGCATCCCGGCTGGAAAAATATATGTATATACATATGTATGAATAATCGTATATGAGGTAATTTAGCCAGTTACCGGACGATTAACCTTTTATCAGCATCATTTCATTATTTATTATCTTTAATTAATTCTTAATCGACTAAGAATGGAAATTTTATTAAAAAATATTCAAGTGTGTTATAGAAACCGACACAGAATTGCTTACTCATCGGAATCGAAAATCAATATCTGTTTGAAATGGTGTTATGAAAACGACTTGATTTTGCTTTTTTCGAATATAAACAAAACTGATATTCGAATAATATTTTTGTACTAATCTTAATACATTTGTGATAATTAACTAAAAAATAAAATGATTTTGGCAGTAATAGCATATTTAATGATAGAAGGATTTGGAGAAACCATTCAGAAAATAAAGCGCAAAATTGTAAGGGATAAGAGCAATCCGCTGGAGCTTCCAGAGTCGATGGTGATAAAAAATTTGTTTGTATGTAGATTCATAGACCAATATCGTCTTAACTAAGAAGTCTTTGTAATAGTGCTGGATGTCATCGAAGACGAGTTATATAGGCGATCTATCCCACGTGTGATCCAACCAGCATTGCAGCCACACTGCGGTTTTCGGGTCTCAAATGTCTCCTTAGAGCGATAGAAATGCTGAAGACCTTTGAATGTTTGAATTCCTTACGCTGCATAATTTTAAGAATGAACGACAATAAAAAATTAAGAGTTCGGGGCCCGTTTTTATATCAAGTACTGTACTCCAGGCATTGCTGGTTGTAAAATCTATAATTCGTGATATATATTTTTATTAAATTTTCTCTTGCCGCTTGAATTTATTATAAAAAAAAAAAAATTAAAACAATATAAAAGGGTTTCTTAAAACAAAAGATATATTTTTACTCTAAATTATACATTAATTATAAATAAAATTAAACATTACACTAAAAAAAAATAATTACATTTTAACACTTTTCCCTAGAAGCACCAAGTAATTCCATTTAAACAAAGATAGCAAGGAAATTATCAGCCCAATTCTAAATATTTTAGGGGTAATTCTTTCTTGCGAATTTTCCCCTAATATCCCCCTAATAAAATATCCTAGAATTCTAAATGCACATTGGGGAATTTTTTTTCTTTCCGGAATCAACTGATTAGTGATATTGTGTATTATTGAGATTACTGCTGGTTGGCAATTCTGCATCCAAACCTGCAGATTCTAAACCTTGGCAAATATGAACCTCGATTGGCTTTTTCGGGAGTGGACAAGTTACATAATGCCTCGAGTTCAGTGCTGGTCAAATCCACCCAAAATCTTTGTTTTGAATCGGGATTTTTCGTGTTCCATTTGCGAACGATCTCACTTCCGTATCGATTAGTTTTCGTAATGAGAAAAACTTCTTGAACATCTCATCCCTGGCTCTTGTTTACTCCATATTGTACCATATTTGCTGAGCAAAAAGCATTATCGGCTGGTGTTTCTGGTTGTTCGTCCGCTCCTTCTGTGCAACATTCTCTTCGCAGCTGGCAATCAATCCATTCGGCTCGATTACTTCGTCTTCTTCGGTGTATGATGCATGGTCGTGAGGTGGATAATCTTCATCATGATCGTCGTCGCCTTTAAACAGATCTTCTTCGCCATCTTCGTTGTTGTCTGGATTTTCTTCACGTCCAATATCATTTATCAATGTCTCTGATAGTTGCGTATAAAAATAGAAAAAAAAAATGGAAATTTTGGAACGCAAACTAGCAACTAGCAACTTAGTGTTGGATGTTCGACGTTCAATTGTAAACTGATGCGTTTACTGTCAAAAGCAAATAGCGTATATAAACAAAAACGAAAAAATGCGCAAAAGCCGGTTTATATAAAAATGTATACACAAGAATTCATGAATGCGTACTGGCATATCCCTGCAAAAAAATGTTGGTCATATGGTCCATTGGAGTAATCCAAAAACTAGTCCCTTCCATCAATTATTTCATCAACTTGCGTCTCGCTACCACGCTGTTGTTAGCCGATGATTGCCTGTGTTTTAATGATCGCACTTACTAGACGAAGATGAAAGTAATACAGAAAACTTATGTTTGTATGTACGAGTATGTTTGTTTGCCCATTCTAGTCTAAAAATGTCAGTTTTCGTACATACAACATATTTCTGACTAGTCTAAAGACTAATCCCATGTTTCTACTCCATGGAGCAATTTTTGGAAATAGAACTTTACT